TGCTTTGTTGGGATTGCTGGTTCTTTTCTGTATAGTAAAACATCTAATCCAGATAGAAATGTTAAGTAAATTCACAGACTTTCCTTAAAATATATGTTCTCCAAAAAGCAGTGTCTTTTCTTTGTCCTACCCGTGACGGAAGAAACAGCTCAGAATTTTCCAATATAAAATCAAGTTGGAATATTTTTCGTATTTGGTAATAACTCGTATATTAGTGAACTAGGTGTAGCTTTATCAAAATGTAGAATTGCTTAGTACTTTATACTTAAATTAAAAAAGAAAAACTATTTTTGCTGTACAAATGTCCCACCCGTGACGATGGAATACCCCATATGCATTATTTCGGTTTTCATCCGAAACTGTGCATGTATGCTTTATTTCGGTTTTTGCCATATGCATTATTTCGGTTTTGAACTGAAATTGTGCATGCATGCATTATTTCGGTATTTGTTATATGCATTATTTCGGTTTTCTAACGAAAGTGTGCATATGGATAATTTCGTTTTTTCTAATATGAATTATTTACTTCTACTTAGTAAGGGTTTTAATCCCTAAGCGCGGCTGAAAGCCGCCTACGCAGAGAAAAGTTCTGCGCAAAAATACGTCCGCCCTTCTTTTCCGGCAATACAGAAAGGAGAATTCTACTTAGTAAGGGTTATAATCCCTAAGCGCGGCCGAAGGCCGCCTACGCAGAGAGAAGTTCTGCGCAAAAGTACATCCGGTCCCCTTTTTCGGCAACACAGAAAGGAGAATTCTACTTAGTAAGGGTTATAATCCCTAAGCGCGGCCGAAGGCCGCCTACGCAAAGAGAAGTTCTACGCAAAAATTCTTCCGCCCTTCTTTTACGGCAACACAGAAAGGAGAATTCTACTTAGTAAGGGTTATAATCCCTAAGCGCGGCCGAAGGCCGCCTACGCAGAAAGATGTTCTGCGCAAAATTACTTCCGGTCCCCTTTTCCGGCAACACAGAAAGGAGAATTCTACTTAGTAAGGGTTATAATCCCTAAGCGCGGCCGAAGGCCGCCTACGCAGAAAGAAGTTCTGCGCAAAAGTACTTCCGGCCCCCCTTTCCGGCAACACGGAAAGGAGAATTCTACTTAGTAAGGGTTATAATCCCTAAGCACGGCCGAAGGCCGCCTACTCAGAAAGAAGTTCGTTTTCATGTATGCGCTATTTCGGTTTTTGTCATACGCATTACTTCGGTTTTGAGTCGAAACTGTGCATGTATGCATTACTTCGGTTTTTCTCATATGCATTATTTCGGTTTTGAACCGAAACTGTGCATGTATGCATTACTTCGTTTTTCTCATATGCGTTATTTCGGTTTTCAAACGAAAGTGTGCATGTATGCATTATTTCGGGTTTTTTATATGCACTATTTCGGTTTTCAACCGAAACTGTTCATATATGCATTATTTCGGTTTTTTTCATATGCATTATTTCGGTTTTCAAACGAAAGAGTGCATATGCATAATTTCGGTTTTTCTAATATGCATTATTGCGGTTTTCAACAGAAGCTGTGCATATATGCATTATTTCGGTTTTTTTCATATGCATTATTTCGGTTTTCAACCGAAACAGTGCATATATGCATTATTTCGGTTTTTTTCGTATGCATTATTTCGGTTTTTTTCATATGCATTATTTCGTATGCACAGTTTCCATATGCACAATTTCAGGGTGCCGTTTTACATATTCAAATTTTTGTTAAGTACTTGAAAAAAGCGGCTATAGAAAGAAGTGTTTTCCCTTTTCTGTAAAATTGGTAAATGTGGACTTAGCAGCTTATCGCATTAAGCTAGCGATATGTATGTATGTACATACCTATCAACAATTTCATGCAACTAACCCTACACTACTACCGCTCTTGCTTACATGCGTCTGTGCCGTCTGTGCGTTTGTCCTTCCCACATATGTACGATTTCACTCAGAAATTCAGCCATCCTCATCCGATGATTACTTAAATATGAGCATCGAAACTGGCACAACCATTTTTTCACCGACACGTCCAAAAGATCACGGCGACAACCAGTCAAGGGATGAACCAAATACAACAACAACAACTTCTTTCACTTTCCCAGATAAAATAGCACCAACAACAACGCTCGTAAACAATCTTGATAGTCCAGTGAATAAGCATCGTAAGAAGGAAATTATCCAACCGGAAGAGATACCAATGCTGCCGGGTGCACATCATAGTTCTGATGGTGAGGGAAGTCCCGAGCAAGGACGAAAATTCGTTAAGAATATTTTACAACAACAGGCACGTGCTACGCCCACACCATCACCGCGACATCACATTGCCGAAACAGAGTTGACGGGCAGTGATAATTATGTGAACGTTAAGTCCCCAAAAAAGCTAAGCAACACGAATGGCGCGCGAACAGCTAAAGCATTTTCAAATCCAAGTTATCAAATATTAAAGACTGTTTCCAAGGATGTGGAGTATAAGTGAAGAAGATAGCAGAGTTTCACCTAGAGTATAGTTAGTGGATTTACATAATTAAGTAAAAATAAAGTTGACTTTAAAGTGACTTTAGCTGGCGTACGCTTACGAAATGCGCGTTTGATTCCTGAGTTAGATTTTAAGAAATCTAAAACACAGGCATACAAAATACATATGTACGTACGCATTTCAATGAACTTTTTTCCGCTGAAACCGAATTTGAAGTCAGTCAGAATCGCCAAATTGGTGCAAGTTTATGAGATATTTAACTCCCAAAAAAAAGTTGTCTTACGAGTATTTGTGTTTTGAGGTTATCTCATAAATTTTAACCACCATGGGTATTTTTATCAGTTTTTGTGTCAATAAGTCGTTTTTCGTACTTACAAAAATAATCTTTTTGCTATTGGTATTTGATAAAGAAAAGTTCAAACCAAGTAACGGTGTTTCTTATTATTTTTGGAAAAAATCGAACCACTGCTTAGCAGGGGGTCAAAGTCGTTGTCTATTTATTAGTGCAATATTGAAATCGATTTTATGTTTAGCTGAATTCGAACAACCATATTTATGGTAATACTTATCTAAAAGAAATTAACAAACATAGAGAAAATAAAGAAAAATATAGGGAAAACTGGGGCTCATTTGACTATGGTCTTTTCGAAGTGAAGTCAGGATGATTAATCAAATTTGGAATAAGGTTTTTGATTTTACTCAGCGTCATGAAGTTTGACAGTCAACTCGAAGATTTTGGCGAAGCAGCACGTGTCTCTTCTCTTTATACGACGTTCTGCGTTATTTTGTGACAGTGATATATACGTAAAAAAAATTTATTGAATATGTTAAAGTACTAAGTTAAATTACCTAACATTATTTTCAATGGTTTCGAAAAGTTTTGCGAATTTTAGTTTAGAAAATTAAATAACGTTCTTTTAACTATATCTAGTTTTTTTTTTTAATTTTTTTTAGAAAAAAAAACATTTCTGACATAAACTTTGACAATTTTTTTTCTTAAAACTTAAATTTGAAAAATCTTTTACTTAAAATGTTTTGCCGGATTTCCACTAGGCATTTTAATGACAAAAACTGTATGCCATTTAAAAAAATGCCATGTGGAAATGAACTTAATGACAATTTTTTTACGTAATGACACGATTATTTTTTAATGCCCGATTTTGTCATTTCTGCCATTTAATGCGTAGTGGAAATCTAGCATTAGTCGCATTTAGAGGATCGAGAACGTGTAAAGTGAAGAGTTTTGAGTTGAATTCGTCAATTTCATGTTGCGGTTTTTGCGAATTGTGAGAAAATATCTTTTTTTTAGCTGTTTTTAAATTATTTTAGGCCTTTAATGCGCAATCTAGGAACCTTTGAATTTAAAAAAAAATATTATATGTATATTTATGTATATTAACATAACAATATGAATGTTACTTTGTCACTACTGAAATATATGTATTTAATTCTTTAAGCATTTTGTGGGTAATTGAGGGTTTTTTCCCGACTCTTCAGCTTCTTTTCCTAAACTGGAAAATGCTGCGTTTACGTCTCTTTGCTTCAGACCTGCGATATGTATTTTACAAAAATAGCCACCGTGTAAATAATTTTTATATTTAAGTGGACTTTTTTTCTTTAATACAAGTATTTAGAAAATAAACTGCATTCAAACTTTTTCAATAAAATGCACAAATTAAAATGTGACCCCTTTAAACCCATCGGTCAAAGAATTTTTTTTTGCAAAACTGTTGAAAATCATATGTCAATCAATAAAAAACACTTTATTTAATAATCCGATATTTCGTCTTAATTACTTTTTGGCACAAAAATGTATCAAAATTTTCCATAGTACAATCGTGTAATTCTGACTTCAGTCTCCAATTCAGTTGGGAAAAGTATGTATATTTAAATATACGTAGTGCCTTCAAAACTTTCTGTTTGGGTGCCTATGTAATTTATCAAAGTTCATTGAAAACTTACGAGTTATACATACATAGCCATAAATCGATGAAAAATAGTAAGTGCAAATGTATTTTTATGTATTTTATGTAAACAAAAAGTGCTTGCAAGTGCCACCAAAGCTTTTATTTTAGATCTAAAAATTACTACGTACTTTAAAATTTTGAACTAAAAATTGTAATACAAACTCAAAGTTCTAAACTTTTTTAATATAGAGAATTGCATTCGAATTCTTAAAATAATTTAGATATGTGGTACGCAGTATATCAACAGATGTGACAGCAATGGCAGTGAAACCTTGACGAACCTTGTTGAATCGAAAAACTCAAAAAGTCGTGAGTTTCATTTTCCCCGAAGCGGATCACGTTTCACTTTTGGTTGCCATGGTTTTACTATGGGCGCCTGACAAATTTCGAAAAACGAAACTATGCTTTTAACGATTTTTTTTTTAATTTTGCATTTTTCGTTGTATCGAGGATTTGATATTCTATAAATATAACGAAACTATAGATATAACGAAGCATTTTTCCAACCTCTTCAATTTTCTAAAATCGAGGTTCCACTGTATTGTATGCATATCTATTACTGCCGTTTTTACAGTGAAGAGTTAACTCACATTCTTCAGTTAACTAGAAGTTTTCCTATTAAAAAAACTACAGTAAACTGCCGAATATTAGTTAACACTCCACTGCAAAAACGGTCCTTAATGTTAATAGAAACCAGAAAAGGGTATAATTTTAATGCTTTTCTACTTAATAACGCCGTAAAAATCAACGTTGTACGATAATATTCATATACATATGTAGTACAGTTAAGTTTTTGTCTAACTATTTATCAAGAAAACAAAATCCTACTTTTTATATGTACTACTACTAGTTTAGAATAAATGCATTGTAGTATAAATTAAGCTATAATATTTAGTGACTAATTGAATTGTATATACACTTGTACTACTACTTTTACTCAAAATCTATGTTTTGTACTCAAAAATAAAATTGCGAATGTGCTATATATAAATGTAGTTTTATTGCGATACATTTAAATTTTATGAACGTAAATGCCTTAAAAAGTGTAAATAGAAATAATAAATAATTAAACCATAAAAACTGTT